AACAATTTTGTATTTTTACCAGCCAAAGCCTTAGTTGTTCTTTTTTAGGTTCTTGATAATTCACATCCATTTCAATGTACAAGAAAATGACCCGTTTAATAGTAATTAAGAAGACTAACAGTTTTTCTCCTTTAAAATTGATTTATACCAAACTGTGTATTGTTTGGTTTTGCTGTTTGTATCGGAACTATTTGCTTAGACATCAGCCAAATTTTGGATACAAAAAGGAAATTAAAAAATGTAGTGCTAATTGGATTATCTTTGTTATTGAGAAGGTTGTTAAAGTGGAGACAAATTGTATGGTTTATAGTACATGATTCTATGAGCTGGTTGTTCACATTAATGGTCACTGTTACTCTGACATTTAGTGCCAAAAACATAAAAATCAAACATGGGTTCTCAGTTCTCACTCTTTATTAGATGTAAATCTTTGTCTTCCGATACTAAATCTATTTTTAAACTAGATATTTAGTTGAATTGGTCTTGTTAGGATCTAGCTATAAGATATTTTCACGATTAGTTTGTTATTATTGTTAGAAGAAGATTTTGATTTGATGTTTTTATGTATAAGAAAAATGTGACATGTCACACTAACCCCACTTGGTGAGATTCATGCGAAGGAAACAAAAGACAAAGATTTCATTTTACACATTAATAAATACTTTATAATTAAAATATTAATATACGGTCTCATTTACTACTTTCTTGCATAGTGACACAGCAATAACCTCGCCAAAATTCAACAAACCTCCCCTAAAACTCTCACAATCTTAATAAAATCCTAATTACTATATTTACTCGCAAATAAATTAAAAATCCCTAATTAAAGAAAATTAAAATTCCGTTGCGCTTCTTCAGTAGATCGGAGCCGTCCACATCCGTCGGGAAAAGGAAAACGGACGGTCAAGATTAATTTCCCATCGTTATCATCCAAAAAAATCACTCAAGAACAACAAAAAGAAAACCCGAAAAACCCAGAAAATTTTTCTCGAGAAAACTCATTACCGGAAAAACTCATCAACATCCCATGAGCATGAGCTGAAATCACCGATCACACCTAACGATAAACCCTCTGATAAATTCGAATCTTTATTACAGCTTGTGTTATTGTTCGGCAACGATTCGATTTCATCTAGAAACAGAGAATCACTAATAAACTGAGAATCCCAGAAACAATCTCCGGTACGAAACAGATCAGGCAAGAAAAACGAATTCGCCGGAGTTTCCTCTTCGTTTCCGGTTTTTAACTCAACCGAAGAAAGCTTGACCGGCTCTGTTCTATACTCTGTTTCTTCGGTACGATCATACCGGAGAACAGAAGTCGGAGAACAAAGACTGAGCTGTGAATCTCTCGCTGAATCACAACCAGAACCAGAAACCGTTTCAAGATCAATCACAGGAGTTTCAGACACAACCGTAGAAGAAGGACTAGGAGGAGGAGTAAGTAGATTTGTCTGAGCGTTATGACCTTTAAGTCGAATCGCTGCTTTATCATAACCAATCGCAGCTTCTCTCGCCGTCGCAAAAGTACCAAGCCAGATTCGTGTACGTGTCGTCGGATCACGAATCTCCGCCGCGAATTTACCCCAAGGTCGTTGTCTTACTCCTCTGTACTTCACCGGCTCCTCCTCCGTCGGTTTTTCTCGTTTTGCATCACCGTCGAATCTAATCTCTTCCACATAACGCTTCACTCTCGTCGTCGGAGCCATAGATTTGTCGTTTTCTTCTTCGTCGCTTGATGAATCAGTCGCACATGGATCAGTCACTGTGATCTTCAAAACTTTTGGGAAACCGATAAAGGGATTTTCCGGTACGGTTGTTACTTTCCGGTGAACCGTGTACTTAACTTTTCTCTGTTTGCTTTTCATCTCTCTCACACTCTCACCGGAGATAAGAATATGAAACAAGATTTTAGAGAGAGAAAGTGAGTAAATTTTTGAGATTAAACAGTTTTGGGGGAAAGAAGAGTCAAAAAGGCTATACGAAGAAATCGCCGTTTCTTAGTAACATCCTTCTTAAATATAGTCACGCCTCATTTATTGTATTTACATTTTTTTTTATAAACAATAAATATAAGTAAATTTTCCTTTTTGCTTTTAGTTATACTTACTTTCCTTCTTGATTTTCGATATTTCGTTATCGTCAATGGAATTTCCGAGATTTTGTTTTTAAAAAACGTAACCTTTTTTTATTTAAATCAGCCATATCATAATTGTGTTTTTGGTTTTGTTTTAAATGGGAGATTAAGTAGTAATTAAGAGAGAGAGATTAGTGGCGCTCCAAACGACTCGCGGCTTCTGACACGTGGCGGTAGCTTGATCTGCAAGCTAGTTTGATTTCTTCCACACGCGCGGATGAGTGTTCGTGTGATCACGCGCTTGTGAGAAGAAGGGAAATGGGCCTTGTGTCACGTGAGACTGGTCACAGTGCTGTGTGTCACTCACTGCTTTTGACCCACTATGATAATTATGAATTTTATGGTAATGATTTAATTGGAATGTTTCTTCTTTTCTTCAAAATTTTGGGAATGTAGAAACATTCTTTTTATTATCTCGTGTTTAATTTGAATGTTTTCTCTGATTATTTTAAATTTAAGGGGAATTAGGATATGTTTGCTTGCAGATCAAGTGATTGCAGCCCTTATAATATTGAGTTTCTTAATTATCATAGTAATCACTACTTAGCTTTAACACTAGACACAAAATAGGAAAAGTTACAATTAATTTAGGAAATTTTCCTGAAATGATGATTTTAATATTATTATGGCACTAAATATTCATTGTTCACAAACAAAAAATTATAAAATAAATATTTGGTCATGATTCACCAAAAATAAAATTTGTCAGGTTATATAACACTAGCAGAGAAAAATACATTACTATTGTTTTTATTTTGGGTTAATTTGCTTAATAACCAAATTTTTAAATAATTAAGTTACTAACCAAAATTGACATGTGTTGGCAAAATCTTGACCATTAGATTTAGAGTAATTAGTTAGATATTTAGTTACTGTTTTTTTCTTGGTTATTACACACAATTTCCCTTTTATTTTTCACTTGATTTTGTTGTTGTTGGTTAAGTTTTGACCAAACCAGGTTCTTATATTTTATTTATATTTACATGTATGTATGTTCTTCGTAAGATCTTCTGTTATACCAGAATCTAGGGTTGTAACCAAATATTTCGTATGATAGATTAGGTTATTTGTTTAATATATTTGGATGAAAATATAATTCAAAAGTCTTAACAGATTCGTAGCGAAACAAACACGTGGATACTGTTATCTATAGTAAACTATAAAGGTGTTATGGTGTGCATTAATCTATTAATAGAAAAAAAGATAGAAAACAAAAGAGAAATTGGACTGTCTTAGGGCCACATGAACAAACCTTGTAGACAAAGCGATAACAAGAGATTGCACGATACTCGTTGAAGCATGAGATTTTTTCTTTGTTAAATAATTATTATTTCTTTTTTTCTTATATGAGGTATGAGTTGGTGTAGGTAGAAAACGAGATGGTCTTTTTATTTGTTTGCTCTGTCGTCTTCATGGGTTTTATACATTTTATTTGTCTAGTTGAGGGGAAAACACAACCTGAACATTTGAAAATAACTTCACTTTCCTTCTATAAAATAATAAAACATTATGATTTAAGGACTAGAATATGATCCAACCACAATTTGTTTATACCGTCCGACTAATCCTATCGAAAAATTCAGTCCACCAAGTTTTTAACTAATTAGCTTCCAATACTATACTGGCGTCAATTAGTTTAATTTGATTTGTAAAAACATGACC